CGGGGGGGGGCCGCCATGGGCTCCCAGGCGCTGCAGATCCTGCGCCAGGGCGTGTGGGCGGCGCTAAGTGGTGGCTGGTATCAGGACCCGCACCAAGGCGCCGGGGTCAACGCGCTACACCTGTATCTATGGCTCTTCCTGCTGGGCTTCCCCTTCACCCTCTACATGGTGAGTGCGGCCCGCAGTCGCCTGGCGCGGCGCCCCTCCCCCCCGCCGTGCTCCTGTGCGGGACGCTCCCGTGTGTCAGGGGCCCCGAGGCGGGGCCTGCTGTCCCCGAGCTCTTCCAGCTGCTGCTGCTGCTGCCCCACCTGGGCTGAATCCGAGCCGAACCCTTGTGACTGATGGAGAAGGGGTGAGGGGGAACGGCGTGCAGCCCCCTCCCTGCCAGCTCCTGCGCTGTCATTTCTACTTCATTTCAGTTATGAAAAAGGAGGAGTCCTATGGCACATTAAAGACTTGCAGATTTATTTAGATATAAGCTTTTGGGAGTAAAACCCACCTCAGCAGATGCAGTTTCGCGAAGTGATTTTCACTCAAGCTTATGCCCAAATAAACCTGTTTAGTCTTTAAAGTACCACAGGACTTCTCCTTGTTTTTGAGATACAGGCGGACAAGGCTACTCCACTGAGACATTTCAGTTATGGTTAAAAGTCCCTGGAAAGCAAGGGAGGACAAGAGAGGCTACTTGGGTTTACAATAAACTTCCTGCATTTTTTGTGGCACCCGGGGCCAGCAAGGTGCTCTCCTGTGCCAGCTTGGGAAGTAAGGGCCTTAGTTTCCTATAGCTGCCATAGAAATGTCAGAATCCTTTGGGGTTGTAATGCATCTCTATATTGGTTTAATGGGTGGTTGCTGTTATTATGGCCTAGAATAAAAGTTTAATATATTGTAAATTCCCCTAGTTATAGAGTAGACAGCAGATTGGGATTAGGAAGCTTGGGTTCTGTCCTGGCTCAGCTGCTGGCCAGCTGTGGGATACCTGGGGCAAGTTATTTCACTTACCTGTTTCATAGCATTCCCTTTCTGTAAATTGGGAATAACCTTGTTTGTTTCCTTGATTTAAAAGTGATATACAAGACGTAGCTGGTGGGATGATGATGATGATGATAATTTTCCAAGAAATGTTTGCTTGCTGTCTGATGTCTGCATGAACCTTTGAATGAGACATTGACCAGGGTTTTCTCTGGTTTAATTGTAAAAATTCTGTGGCTCATGTTTTAAAATTAAAAGATACACTTTAAAGATCATAGTGTGAAGGTCTAATTCATACATTGTGTGCACTGCATGCTGTTTGGTCTCCTGTCTTGACTGTGTCATAATGGTAAGGGGAAGGCATTCTTTATGCCTTGAAGCTTTTTGATCCTTAGGAAAAATAAGTGCTGTAGAAATATAATCTGCAGTTAAAATTATCTTTGTATTTAGTATTTTTTTTAGGTTTTTAGAAAAGGCTGATTTGCAAACCCAGAAGCTTATTTTTTATGTTCTTTGGTTGATTCCCTCTTGTCCTCCATTTATAGCCCCCCCCCCCATCTCTATATTAATATACTGAGTTTGGGTTGGGGGAAATGTAGGCAGGCAGACAATGTGTAGTGTCCCGTTGCACCACTTATCTTTCAGCATCACATTCTGACTTCTATGTCATCTGTGAAGCAAATTAATATTTTAGCTCATGGATTTCCCAGCATTTGTACAGTGTGATCATTTAGGTGTGACGTGATTGGTCTCTGGCACAGTCAGATCTAATCTGCAAGTGTGGGAAATCAAGATGCTTTGACAACTTAAAGCAGAAAGTGACTTGTGAAAAATGTATGTGGATTAGTGAAAGATTCCCTGGGGCAAAACCTTGTGTGAATTTGTAACTGTAGGAGAAGTAGCAGTTAGATTCATTAGCAAACACTATAGCTTTGTGGAGGAGGAGAGAGATTCAATATCTTTGATTAGAATATCGTCAGACATTATTGAGGTGGAGGAATAATGTAAAATGTTAAGACTACTGCCCTTTGAAATTACCTCTTTTGTATTTTGGTGGTTTTTGGAAAATGAAAATAGCTTTTTACGTTATTGAAAAATAATACATTCCTGGCAAGGAAACATGAGGCTGTTAATTAACAGCTCTGTGTCTCAAAAAAAAAAAAACCAACCCAACAGTGTATGCAATTGATGAGTAGTCTGAATATGTGACTAAGTGGATGCTGTATTGGGAATCTGTTTCAATGCAAAGACAAGAAGATTCTCTTGTAATCTGTTGATGTTCAGCTTGTTGGAGTTTGTTCTGTCCTGCATTTTTATGGCAATTTCCGGTATCCAGTCATGCTTGACAAAATAGCTTATTTAATTAGTAGCACCCTGTTGAGAGGGCTTGCCATAAGCATTGTAACAAACAGCAAGATGTCCATGCGGGAAACTCATTTGGAAAGAGCTTCTCTGTCCTTTAGATGTCTTTTCTGGAAACTCATGGAACTGCAGTAACTTAGAGCAGGGGTTAGTGCTTTAGAGATCTTTGTCTTGAGTGAAACTTTTAAGTACTATTTCTGCCTGTCTGTTTTACTATGTGCTTTGATAGAAAAGAAAGAAAAAGCAGGCCAAAAAAGAGTTTTCTTTTTAAGGTAATTAAAAAAAATTCTTGATTGCCTTGGAGGAGGAACAGATGCAACATCAAATACCAAATGTTCCAAGAATAAGTAGGAAGATTAGTCACAAGTTAAAGCAGATTGAATCATGTTTGGCTGTTCTCTCTTTCCCACCCTTTACTGTTTTAAAATGTTGTCTAGACATAAACTAAACAAAATGACTACCGTCATCTTATTCCTGAATGCCTTCCTTTTTTTAAGTGTTGTTTATAGTGGGTATTCTGGAATTGTATATGTATCATTGTAGGAATTGCACAACTAAGCAACATTTGTAAACATCCCTGGAGGAAGCCAGTTTTTTTTTTTTTTTAAGTGTGGCTCAAAACTATGAGTAGGAGAGGATTTCTAAACTAGCTTCAAAGTAGTTTTTGCTGACAGTCTGTATTATTTTTAAAACAAATTTCAAATACTGGGAGATCTTATTACATTTAACTTTGTAAAACTTTATATGTTTTCACACAGTAGGAAGTTCTAGGAGTAAATTCCCACTTGTTTTCCTACATTAGAATAGCAATGGTTGGAACTTTTTTTTCTAAAATATCCTGTGGTAGGCAAGATCACAAAGCTACTTTCTAGTATAACTTAATTTTTAGGCAAATCATACTTTCTGAGCTGTCCTTCAGACTCATTAAGTTCAAATGCACCTTCAGTTGTCTAAAGATGTACTTTGTTGTACTAGAAGTCTATAAACTGTTCCAGATGCTTGAGCATCCGCTTTTAGCATGTTTTCTTCCCAGTTATGTACAAGTAGTTAATAATCAATACACATACAAAAGGAAACAGAATAATCATAATTTCAACTCTGTTAGATTCCTGTGCCTCAATCTAAGTGTATATAGATTGAGGAGAGAGGCTGGTAGGGGGCCAAGAGGTCTGGTCTGGGCTTCCAGCAGCCCATCTCTTTCATATCTCATAGTCAGGAGCTCTTTAGACTGGAGAGAGGCGGAGACAGTGGCGCTATGCCACTGCAGCATTTTAAATGTACACAAGCCCTGAAGTATAGGATGGGGAATTGTAGAATCAGAGCTATGTGCAACAAACTAATATTTACAAGAGGCAGACACAAAAGCTAACTAATCTAATTTATCTGAAGGAGTCTTCAGTCATAGGTGAAAGTGAGTTGTGAAGTCATGGTTAGATTTCATAAAAATTTGTTCTCATTATAGGACCATAATAAAGTAATACAATTGTATTGTAGAGAAATACAACAACATGAGGCTACTATTAAGTGGGTGCATAACTGGCTGGATAACCATTCTTAGAGAGTAGTTATTAACGGTTCACAATCATTCTGGAAGGGCATAACAAGTGGGATTCTGCAGGGGTCTGTTTTGAGACTGGTTCTGTTCTGTATCTTCCCCAATGATTTAGATGAAGGCACAGAGAGTACGCTGCTTATGTTTGCAGATGATACCAAGCTGGGAGAGATTGCAAGTGCTTTGGAGGATAGGGTCATAATTCAAAATGATCTGGACAAAATAGAGAAATGGTCTGAAGTAAACAGGATGAAGTTTAATAAGGACAAATGCAAAGTACTCCACTTAGGAAGGAACAATCAGTTTTACACGTACAGAATGGGAAGTGATTGTCTAGGAAGGAACACTGCAGAAAGGGATCTAGGGGTTATGGTGGACCACAAGCTATGTATAAGTCAACAGTGTGATACTGTTAACCGTTGCAAAAAAAGCAAACCTTATTCTGGGATGCATTAATAGAAGTGTTGTGAGCAAGACGTGCTAAATCATTCTTCTGCTCTACTCTGCACTGATTAAGCCTCAGATGGAGTACTGTGTCCAGTTCTGGGCACCATATTTCAAGAAATGTGGAAAAATTGGAGAAGGTCCAGAGAAGAACAACAAAAATGATTAAAGGCCTAGAAAACATGAGCTATGAGGGAAGACTGAAAGAATTGGGCTTGTTTAGTTTAGAAAATAGAAGACTGAGAGGGGACATGATGATAGCAGTTTCCAAGTGTCTAAAAGGGTGTTACGAGAAGGAGGGAGGAAAAATTGTTCTCCTTGGCCTCTGATGATAGGACAAGAAGCAATGGGCTTAAGTTGCAGCAAAGGGAGATTTAGGGTGGACATTAAGAGAAACTTCCTAACTGTCAGCGCGGTTAAATACTGCAATAAATTGCCCAGGGAGGTTGTGAAATCTCCATCACTGGAGATATTTAAGAGTAGGTTGGATAGACATCTGTCAGGGATGATCTAGACCAGTGTTTCTCAAACTGTGCTCTGCGGAGCCTCAGGACTCCGCAAGACATCTCCGGGGCTCCGTGAGGTTGACAAACTGGAAAGCCTTCAAAAGCATAATTGAGAATCACCTCAAACTGATGCAATTAACACCTACTGCTGGGGCTCTGCATAAATTTTTGAGCATGTAATAGGCTCTGGAGCCTGAACAGTTTGAGAACCACTGGTCTAGACCAGTGTTTCTTAAACTTTTTGAGACCACGGAATACCAAAAAATAATAATTTTTAATGCGTAACACCTATGAAATTTTTCTTCCAAAAAAAAAAAAATTGTCAGATTAAAAAAAGACAAAAACAAAGAAGAGGTCGCAGCACACCTGCAAGTTTTCCACGGAACACCAGTGTTCTCGCAGAACATAGTTTAAGAAACACTGTTCTAGTCAGTGCTTGGTCCTGCCGTGAGGGCTGGGGACTGGACTTGATCTCTTGAGGTCCCTCCCAGTTCTAGGATTGTGTGATTTTATAAGCTCAACTGGCAGCCTTCTCAAGAAAGGCGCAGGATTAGAATAGCGCACATACCTGGGTCAAGATGAAGTTTCAAAATTGAGAGCTTGTGATATGTGCAGAAAGTTTCATGCAATACCTGTCTCCATTAAGCATGTCTTTAACTTGCATAATCAGGCATTTTTATGTGCACTACAATTCAAATTTAACTATTACATTGCATAGCAATTCTTAATGATATAAAGGACATATGGGATGATTGGATACTATCAAACTTTGAAATAGACCTTATCACATTCATCATGAAACACAAACCTCTTGTCTTCACCTAATTTTAAATCTATAACTGTTTTCTTTGGTTGAATGTATTTAATCCAGTATTCTCTGTTACTGTGAAACCTTGTAAATTGCCATAAGAAAGGTAATACAGGGCATAAAAATGTCTCATTTGGCCTAGTATCCTGCCTCTGACAATGGCTTGTACCAGATACTTCAAAGGGAGTAAACAGAGTAAGACAATTTCAAGTGAGTCATCTCCTGCTGTCCAGTCCCACCTTCTGGCTGCATGGGATTGTATCCCTGATCATCTTGGCGAATGGCTGTTCATGGTGAATGGTACATAAACTTATCTATTTATTTTTTTAATCCAGTTTTACTTTTGGCCTTTGCAACAGTGCAGTAGCAGTAAGTTCCACATGTTGACTGTGTTGTATAGAAAAAGTAATTCCTCCTGTTTTTTTTAAAAAACTTGCTGCCTATTAATGTCACCAGGCAACCCTTAGTTTTATGTAAAAAGGTATGCAATAACTTCTTATTCACTTTCTCTATACCATTCAAGGTTTTGCAGACTTGTATCTTCTCCCCCTCCCCTGCCCATGTATTTCCCTGTGGATCCCTCTTCTAAGATTTGTTTGGCTGATCTGTACAGACTTGCTTAACCAGAAGTATATTTAAGTCTGGCACAGGCACAACTTTTTTTTTTCACCAGGGTTTCAAGAATCTAGCTCAAAAGTCAAATGTATTGGCTTTACAAATCTTTTTTTTTTAAACCAGTAGTCTTTTTTCTAACTGAACAAAAATACTGAATTCTGTGGAGTGGGTTAATTGATCAGTAGATTATAGTGATGTGGTTTATAGTGCTTATGATACCAGCTTAGTTAAAGTAATTTGAGTAAGTTTATTGGAAACACTTAAATGTCAATGTCTGGTCCCAAAATAAAAGGTCTTTCTTTCTCTTGCCCCCAGCAAAGGTTAACTTTGGATACCTACTTAAGCTACTCTGCTCCAGGCAAATTTGAAATATTTTGTGTTAGTGAATTAATTTCATGATAAACTTTTTGCCTGGTGTAGTTTGTTTTCAAACATTCCAAGCAAGTTTATCAACCACATCTTTAACTCTTGTTTTGCTCTAATTGGGACCTGTTGATGCCTGCAGTTAGTTTTAAGTTCTTGTAATGTTATCACTGCCAACATGTATGTAAATGGGAAAAGCTTGTGTCTGTTCTCTTGACTAATTACTTGCTGGTCAAAAGTTCCTAACTCCTTTGCTAATTCCAACATCTCTTACTGCTGATTAAGTTCTGCTGGGTCTGTTAAAGTTTTAAATAACTTCATTAGCAAGAGCAACAAGGCAAGTTAAAATTCAGACACGGGAGGTGAGGGAATACCAAGCAAAAGTGACTCTTCAGAAAGGTGATTGGTGGAAGTGCTCCAGAAACTGTAGTGTTTTTCTTCTAGTTTTAACCCCATCTCCCAAGGCCATGTGTACATGAGATTCTAAAGCAGGGGTGGGGAACCTTTTCTGAGCTGCAGACCACTGACCAACAGAAAAATCCGTCTGGGGCTGCACACAGGTAAGAAGCAAAAAACAAAACTGAAAACACTCCAAATCCTCACTGATGTGGCCCTTGACAGAGAAGGAGAAAGACACTTCAGAGCCTATGAGGGTCCAGCCTAATAGATTTTTGTGTGCTTCAGCCCTGTGGTGGGGCAGTGTGGGCTCTCCCATGCCTCGGGCCAGATCCAGGCAAGCTGGGAGCTGCATCCGGCCTCCTGGGCTTGAGGTTTCCAACCCCTGCTCTAAAGAGATAGAAGTGTTGGCACAACCTGGTATCAGGCTCTCCTGTAGACATGGCCTTGACAGCTATAGTGAAAAGTAGAACACTTTTGTCCCTTCAATTAATCAGAGTTCACAAAAGTCCCGAAGATCTCCTATTAGTCTTTCAACAAAACCTGGCATCATCAGATCTTAATTCAATTTAAGGATGAAAAATAAGTTGAAAAAAATCTGTCAGGCTCTTTTACACATCAAACAAAGTGTGTGTGTGTGGGGAGGGAGGGCGGAGGGTTGTATAAAAAATCCTTCCTATGTCACCTCTGTTGTGTTTCCACTAGGGATGTTAAATATCAGTTAATTGAATAGCTGATTACCCTCATGAATTCTTATCGGTTAGTCTTTGGGGGTGGGGCTGGCAGTCAGTATGCTGTGGCCTCACTCCCGGGGAGGCTCCTGCCACCCCGCGCTGCTGCCTCTCTGTCAAAGGCAGCAGCGTAGGGTGCCAGGCAGGAACTGGTCCACAAAGGGATCCAGTTTAAAAACCAGCTGTTCTTGCAGACTGGCTGCCTGCCATTCTGTGCTGCTGCCTCTGCTCCTAATACATTTTAAATGCAGAGCTGCAGCGGGGTTAGGTCCCGGACCCAGCGCAAGCTGAGACTGAGCCGGTCTGCTGGTCAGCCTGCTAAAAAAAAATGTACTGGCGGGGGGGGGAACTGGTCCACAAAGGGATCCAGTTTAAAAACCAGCTGTTCTTGCAGACTGGCTGCCTGCCATTCTGTGCTGCTGCCTCTGCTCCTAATACATTTTAAATGCAGAGCTGCAGCGGGGTTAGGTCCCGGACCCAGCGCAAGCTGAGACTGAGCCGGTCTGCTGGTCAGCCTGCTAAAAAAAAATGTACTGGCGGGGGGGAAAAAATCAGCCAATAGGG